CGTATGATTGTATGAATAGATCTTAAAATCAATACAAATGTATTTATTATAAACGTTAGTCCTTAACATCTATCACTGTGTATATCACCATTCAAACATCTTTTAAAAGTTGAACAAACCCCACACAGCTCAGTAAAGACTGTGGAATGTTGACTTTATTTGATCATTTCAGTAAAAACTAACGTTCATATTTCTCTTTTCGATTATAATACTGATGAACGTTCAAAACAAAGCACTTTGGCAACTTACCACATACGTTTTAAAATGCTTAATAAGCACCGTAACTTTCATGATATCATTTCTCGGTCATAATCGGTTGTTTCCGTGAACGGCCGAATGTTGTGTGACGGCAAATGCTGCGGCTGCAAGGCATTGTGGGGCAGCATTTTCTCCTCTCCTTTCGTCAAGGGAGGTCCAGTGGTTCCTAAGCTAAAGGAGGTTATAAAGGAAGTTTGAAACCTCCTTTCCTTTCATTTAGAGAATTCGAACGGCACTTATCATGGCTTCCACTGAGGGACTTCCGGGTCATTTCACTCCGTTAGGAAGGTTCCTAAGCTAAATGGACTATTCGACTGCAACCCTGGTCTCAAATACTATAATACGTATACGTACATTTGCTATTTCTTTGTGCATAAAGTGTACCAATAGGAAGGAAAGCAAAATGCACTTTGAGTACCAGATGGTGCACTCATAATGGTTAAAAAGTTAAGTGTGGAACGCTGGACACTTCTCACAATGAATGATCGCCATATTGGCTACGAATCTAGCAGCGTGTGTGGTTGCTCTGAAACACAGCAATATACAAATGTAAGTTCTACTTAAGGTTTTTTATTTTAAAGGTGGGCAGGGTTTCCCCCACATAGACTTTACTTGGGCGGGCCGCCCAGGTATATTAACGGCCGCCCAAGTATATTTCGCGACCCATTTAGTTTTGTTTTTTTTATTGTTTTTTTTTTTTCGTCCGCGACCACGGCGCCATCTGCGATCGATTACCTTGTGGACAATGATTCCTCGCTCTACGCCTCCTGTACCCAGTCCCGTTTTTTTTTTATGTATTGTGAACGCCATGCTGCGCAAATGTGGGTCTGCCTCACACAGGGTGAATGGCTGTCTACATGATTTGGCCTGCCGACATGGCCACTGTCATACAGATCATAAATCAAAGCCCTTGATTGGTCTCTGTGTGTCATTCAAGCTCGGGATAACCTCAGCTCAGGTGAGGTAAAGGACTCTGAGTGTTTAGATAGTTAACTTAGTCTAAGTTCTCAGTGGGTCTCAAACGGTTTGGTCACCATTTATTTAAACACATATTTCCATTTGAGGGGGTAGTGATTAGTAAAATATGCATGAATAAAAAAAAAAAAGTTAACTAGGTGAAAAAAGGTAAGATACACTTTAAAAACTTGAGAGCTAAAACTAGTCTTTGCTGCTGCCTCAAAGAGGAGCAAGGGGGAGAGGAGGGAGACAGGAGAGGCTGATTCAGGAGCACAGACACACTCACAACTATAAATGAACCAAAAATAAATAAATAAACAAGTTTCAGTGTTTTTTCATATTGGAAATGGCCATGATTTTATGATTATTAAAATGTATACAGTTCTGTTTCATATAGGTGTTCCCATAGATCTAGTCTCTTTATTTTCCCCTCAAAGTGCACCAGATTGATGCATTTAACTCCAAAAGTAAAAAAAAGTCTTACCGGGGGAGCATGCCCCCGGACCCCCCTAGAGGATTTGAGGTCCACCCCCACTTCAAATCACATGGATAGGTTCCTAAATACATTTACCATTTTTTTTTTTTAAATAGTAACTCATGCGTCCATATGTTTATTTGTCGGTAGTAGATTTAAACTATAGGGCTATCACTATGGGCCCTGCCTGTACCTGTTTGCTCTGCCATCGCGTGAAGGGTCTGCTAACAAGCGACCAACAGAAAGGTTAATGTTGTTGCACGTCACAAAGGCACGTCACCTTAACCCCCGCTACCACCACCCCCCAAGTATATTTCAGATCTGTGGGAAACACTGGGTGGGGTAGGTAAGTTTGAGAAACCGGCTCGAGATACACTTTTTGTTATATTCCATGGAATGCTCTTAACATCCCGATAGCAATGAATATCTTAAGTGCTTTGACAAAAAATCCATAAAAAATGTCATCTGTGGAAGCCGTAGTACTGTAAAAAGCACGACCAATCATTTTAGCCGGCCCGGCTAAAATAACTGGATGGCCTACCTGCCTGTCAGCCTTCCATCTGTGCACAAACTTATCTCGTGCCCTCATTGGTCATGTGCGTGTGTTGGAGGAGGGGCTCTGTAAGGAAGTGGCAGATTTTTTCCGGTTGTGTATTTTCAAATTCTAGCGCACTCGAGCTGGTTTCTCCAAAATGACCTACCCCACCTTTAAGTGACATACTTCTAATCTGCTGTTAAAAAGAAGCCACCAGTATTTTTTTAGGGTAAATTGAGCAGTGTAAGGATTTGGTACCACAAACGATTGTTGCTAGCTAGTTAGCTAATTAGCTACTGGTTGGTGCTAGCTAGCTAACAGCAGCGATAGTCAATTCCAGTGAGGGCACAGCAGTTTGTGCAATTTGAGACAGAATTACATGGTTGAAATTCATACACTAAATTATGAACTTAGAAAATGAACTAAGGGAAGTATCCTGATTGAGACACAATATTAGGCCCAATTCCAAACCACACCCGACCCACTCCCCCTCAGTGATGGAGTGAACTCCGTCTGTAGTCTCACTCGCAGCAGAACGAGGCTCCCTTCTTCCAGTAAAAACAGCAGCAAGCTTTGGGACGAACTCCCCTCTCTCCGGCAGAAACAGGAAATGCCGTACATTTTCGTAACAACAGTTTCAAATCAGCATCTCTTGGATTAAAACAAAATAATAATAAAACTCAAAATCTTTAATGGTGTTTATTTTTTGTAAACCACTTTTTGTTTTAAAATCTCATGTTTATAAGCTGCTTGGTTTTTGCAACAGTCCCTGAAAATATAAACAACCTTATAATACAATTCACACAATTAACGTTTTCTAGACTAAACACGGGTATATGATCCTGAGTTAAAAACTATACGAGGTAACATGAAGTTGTTAACATCTGTATGACAATATTAAATGTCTATCTTGTTGTGCAGCTTATCAGTGAATGTTTGCAGGAACGGTTTGTAAACAGCGTGTTTCCTGACGGACACACACAGCATTGAGTCCGGTCAGGTAGAGCAGCAGGTGAAGTCAGGACCGATGCAGACTCGCTGTTTGAGGGCTTGATAACACAACACCCCTCCACACTCGTTGGTTTGGAACAGCACTTAATGTGGCGGACCCTCCGCGGGAACGGTCAAACGGAGGGGTAGTGTGTAGCGGGCGGTTTGGAATTGGGCATTAGTCTTACAGTTTTGCTCTAAGATCATCAGGTCAAAGTTTACTTGTTGACCCCTGTTAACATCTACACTGATCTGATCTGTGTTTGTGCATTCTGATACTGCCGAGTCGGCCCCACTCTGCCAAGAAAACTCAGATATTGACATGCCCTCTGCCTGCAGGGCTATTTATTGATTGCTATTCCTGATGTTTGTTTGGGTTTAGTCAGACTATAAGCTTCACATTTCAATTAAAACATTTCTTCAATATTTCACTCTGCACCTAAACTGTTTATTGGATTTAGTATTGCAGAAGTGCTGATTTATCCAAATGAAGCCCAGAGGTAAACAGGAAGTCCTTACTGAGGTTATGGACTGTGCTACAGACGGACAACAGCTGCTATACTGTAAGCTAATGTAGAAATACAGGAGTAGAAATGTATAGTACATTGTGTGGTAGCTTTTTATATATTCTTTTGTGCACTATTGAGTTTATACTGAGCAAAAGAAAATGTCCTCATAAAATAACCCCAGTAAATTTGGTCTAAAACTGCCACAGAGGATAGTAATGTCTTGAGTACAGGTGAAACTGAGGTTTACATTTCAGCAGCCTTGAGCAACAATAAATAGTTTGTTATTGTAATTGTGTTGTTCTTCTGTAATTCTCAACAACATTTCACCTCTTTGGAAACATCCTTCTACAGTACAGCATGTTGCCATATCATGGGCAGCTGTCAAAAGTGGGTGATACCTAATGAGGCCTCCAATAAACAAGTTTAATGAACATTTCTAATTAACTCAGCAAAGCAGAGTTCCATTATTTATTTATCGTCATGTACCTGCAATTCTTGAACTGTACAACTAGACACACCCTGAAGAGACTTCTGCTCAGTCAGAATGTGTGAAGTGATAAGGAATATAGGAAGGTGAATCCTTTCCAATTTGAACAATAAAAAAAACAATTAGAAAATATTTAATTATATATTTCTGAGTAAGGTGAATTATTTCCAATTTGTATGAAAAACAATTAGATAAGATTTAATGATATATTTCATTAGCATCCCTGTTTGCACTAAACCATCCATTGTTACCCAGACCATAAACAAACGGTCTCAATAAGGTCGGTTTATCAAAAATGATAAAAACTATATAAAAAGGTGTTCAACTCTTATCGTCAGACTTTCATAATTACAATTCTGTAATAAGTGTCAGTCATTGGTCTAGCCCGGACAAATAGCGTGGGCTGGAATACTAATACTAAATGTGATTCAGCCTTGAGAATAAGATGCTCTATAGGAAGCTGACTGCGATGCCGTCTGTATTTCTGTAAAATGATTCACCTCTTAGGTTGATTTTTGTCTCAGTTGAGAGGATAAAAATGCTTAAACAACTGAAAATCACTACAAAAAAGGGACATGTATAAAACGCTAATGCATTAACAAGTTTGACCGGTGTTCAGTCACACTTTCAATCACGGCTGAAGTGACCTTTTAAGCCGTTTATGCCTGTGCATAGATATTGGCTTTAACGTCCCTTCGCTTAAATGAAGAGTGCTCGCTAAGCCAACAACTGTGCTCTGTGAACTGTGTTCCCTCGGAGGTGAATTATATCACGCAGGATTACCCTTACCTTAATTTATCGGTGCCCGCTTTGTATCTGGAGACTCTGGCCATCAGCAGGGGCAGGGAGACGGCATCCAGCCAGCGCTTCTCGTACTTTGGTTCATTAGCTGAGGGCGAAGGGGGCGATGGAGCCTGCGTGGAATACATAAACAATGCGATGAGCTTCCTGCTTCTTTTGATCATCGAAGACCTGGTCTCGATGAAACACTTGCACCATTTACATGATCAAAGAAATCCTTTCTTAACCAGCTGTACAGACGAAGAAAAGAAACATTGCTCTTTGACAGTGAGAATTGCTTTAAGGATAACACCTGCACCTTTAATCATTATAGCCTAATTAAAGTCCTGACCTGCTCCTGCGTACACTCAGAGGCCCAATTCCAAATCGACCCCTAGACACTCCTACTCCGTGACAGAGTGAACCCCGTCTGGTGTCTGAATGAGGCTCTTTCTTTAAAGTGGAGGGTGTAAATACAGCGGTAAGCCTTGGGACAAACTCATCCCCCCTGTCGAGGAGAAACAGGCACTGTCCTTACTTCTCTTAACCATGGTTGGAAATCAGCAGCTTTCAGTTGATAGCAATTACAATAGAACTCTATTTTACAATCTGTATGTTTCATCATTATCTATCTATCTATTATTAATAAAAATGTCTTAGAATTGAGGTGAGAGTTTGTGATCATTCTATACTTTCAGTAATATATTGTTTCATCCGTTCAGTTTTTCTGTCATGTATTATGCAAAAGAGGCTCCTTATTTAAGCTAGAGGCTGTAAACACATTTTAGGGCGAACTACACTCTCTGGCAGAAACAGGAACTGTCGTACATTTTCTTGACCACAGTTAAGAATTTGCATTTCTCTGCCAAAAAAAAACGATATTTAATCAAAAGGTACAACAATCTTAAGAGGAGTTTGGCTGTTCTCGTTTAAATCTGAATTAATGAGCTGCTGGTTGTTTTCTGTTAATATACACAGAGTGACAATCAAATGCACATGTCTACAATTTTCTATGAGTATATGATCCTCAGTAAAATAAAAAAAATGTCAACGTTATACATGTGTAAACTTTTAAATGTTAAAAAAATGCAAATCATGCAAACGGCGCAGGGCAGAAAGTTAAGTGAGGTGCAGACTTCCTGTTGCAGGGTTAAATAACTTCCACTCTTTATTAGTTGTTTTGAAACTTAATTTGGTGGACCCTCCACATGAACACGCAGGATAAAAGTGGGTGGGGGGAGGTGTAGGGATCAGTTTGTAAATGGGCCATAATCTTCCATCTTCCTTTTTATTGCAGGTTTGTCTCACCTCAGGTTAAAGAATGACTTTCAAAGTCACATTACAAACGGTGGCGTTTGGAAGTTTCCACCATGTGTAGTCATCAATTGGACTGTAAAGTAGTAGTTTTATTTTATTTGGGTATTATAAAGCATGCTAGTGACAATTACAGTGCAAATGTATGCATTACATTCTTTCTGGCAGCAGTTTTTCCATTGTGAGATATTTTTAATGGATATTTTTTAGACAGTGAGCCTGCAGTCGGGGATCTGACTGACAGTTACGCCTTTTAAAAGGCAGTAATGAGCATTACAAGAAACTAGAATTGTAGCCTGGCTTTAGCAGAAATAAATGTGTTAATGCGGCATGGTTATGGGTACATCCTGATGGTGGCAATAAACATTGTGAAAAGCAGGACTTCAAATTACTTTAGAATGCACTTTACAGCAAAACAATATCATTCTAATGGCTAATACTTCTTTTCCTATATGAGCAGTCGTCTGATAAGCCACTCTGTGCGTGTGAATGCATTTCACATTCTCTCACAAGTTTTCTTTTTGACAATGGCTTCAAGGCTTTATATAACTGAAATACAATCATGTGCATTGCTGTATTACAGGACATCCTTTGCGATTAATAAAGGCGAGGAAAATATATGTGTATAGTACCTTTCAAAAACAAGACATCCAAAGTGATTTACACAAGACTTAAAGGCTTTAAGAAACAACAATATATATCAAAGAAGTTTAAACGCATGGAAAAACAGTGCAGCAACAGTGCTCTGAAAGTTATAAATAACTAGTCTCAACATTTATTTAATTAAAGTCTGAAGTAAACAGAACATTTCTAAGCCCCAATTTAAAATGAGGTAGTGCTGACGTTTCCTGGGAGTTTGTTCCAGATCTGTGGCACATGAAAACTGAAAGCAGTCTTTCCGTGTTTAGATTTGTCTCTGGGGACAGTACGCAGACCATCTGAGGGTCTGTACATCAGCAGATCAGACATGTATATCGGTCCTTCAGTTCTTTATAAAATAAAAGTCTATTTGGAAAACACGAAGCCAGTGCAAGAATCTGAAAATAAGGAAACAAGGATAGGTTTCCTAAATCATGTTTGGACCTAAAACCTATCCGTTATTCTTAGGGTCCAAAGACAATTGTTTCAGATTTATTTTAGAAAAAGTTTGCAAAATCAATCTTTAATGTGTTTGATGCACTAACTCAGCGTTTGTATGGAATCACAGTGATTACATAAATCTTTGTATGTGCGTCATTTTCAACAAAGCATGACAAAACGTCAATACTAGAATGAGAACAGAGGACTTTCAGTGAATAATGCTCAAATTGTAGGAGCTGACAGGATTATTCAAATGACAAATCAAATTGATAGATTTCTTTAGTGCAATATGTAATGTCTTTTCTACAGAAGATTGATTTATTTAGCAAAATGTTTTCTGCAAAATTAAATTCTATAACAATGTATGCTTCAGAGGGTCTGCAGTCTGATAAAAATGAACACATACTGTACGGGCAGAACTCCAAACAGGACTTCCATAGTTTATGGAACACATTGTATTACACAACTTAATTGAGTACTTAAATCTGATTGGTCAATTTGGACATTCCAGAGGTCTGTAAATATCGCTAATGAACTGTTGCTAAGGAGAACAAACTGTTGCTTAGGAGGATCAAGGGGACTACAGTATGTGCAGTCATATCAATTAACAGAAAGAAGTCCAGTCAATTTAACATCAGCTGTAGACAACAAACATTAGCTTTCCTCCATGAACAAAACAGCATGGAATACTAAGAATTTTCATTTTCATATTTGTGTGGCGCGCTGGACGCCAGAGAGATCAACAGAAGAAGACAGACAGCAAATGAACTCTGACGGGGGATTCTCGCAGTGTTTAAAGACTGGTTACTGGAAAAGACAATGCGGTGTACAGTATGTCGCGTCAAGGTCCTCATCACTATGTCGATGTTCTTTATTCATTAATGACCGCCCTTACTTAGCGGACCAATAGCCCTCTCAAGACGTTCTAGAAGAGTGTCAGGGTCTACAGTATCAAAGCGGCACTGAATGATCATAATCCATACAGTGTAGGACAAATGGTCTGCTTTCTTGGCCAGTGCAGCTTCGAGTCTTTGTATCTAAACTAGCACTAAAACTCATCAAGAAGATTGACACTAGATGTATAGGCAACCAACTTTGTGTAAACATGACAAGATTTCAAAAAGGTCTGTGATTGCTTAGACATTGAAGATAGAAGTTAGGTATTTAAGTTAAGGAGTAATCATGGCTGTTCTAAAACCAATGGGTACAATACCAGATCATAAAGATGTATTAATGATGCTAAGAATAAAGTTTTCTAGCAAACTGAAAAGATATTCTTTTGAGTCTTGAGAACACTTTGAGGGAAGAGCACTTTAATTTTACAATTACAATTAATCCATCGCTCATTTAATTTGTATTACTACTGGTACCTAAATGAGCGTTGGCTTTGCTGTACCAAGAACCAAATTGTTATATAAAATGATACAAAATAGAACGATATAATGAAGCCCCCTCTGAGACTGATGGCAGTGTATCAAAAATCATTCTTTGTAACGGTCCTGAAGCAAAATATGTTGACAAAAACTTTGATATTTAGAAGAGCACCACATTTAAATGCAAATCACACCGCACTTAATGATGAACAGATGCATTTCACTTTATCTAATGAGTTACAAGCTTAGGGATCAAGAGAGTGAAGTTTAAGCATTATCAAACTGTGAATAATTCCTGGAGCTAAAGATGATATGTCAGCTCAAAATCCCCAAACTCCTCCAAAGAACAGCAAACACTCTGATGAAGCCCTCTAGCATTTCATACACAATACAGGTAGGTGTGTGTAGCACAGAGGACAATAATGTTACTTTACTCGCATGAGTGAAATTCAAGCCGGAGATAAATTGGCAAGTGTGTGCACATTTACAAGCTGTAATGCAATTTTATCATCTGAACTTGGTCATCTGAAAGCCAAGACTTTGTTTTTGTTGGAAATGATCCATTTGAGAGCTGACGGTGTACTCTTAACCCTTTATCGGGCGAGGAACCATATTTGGGTTAGGGTTAGGGTTACTCAAACATGGCGTCCCCCCCCGCGACTCAGTGAGGTCGAGAAGCATGTGGTTTTCTCCCAGCCAATCAGCGAAGATCACAGAACGCGCCATTGGGGCATTTGACCAATTAGCAGAGGCCTGAAACGGGTTAGGGTTAACCTAATAGTGCCCTATAAAGGGTTAAGTTGTCTCCCTGTATTTACAAGCTTTAAAAATATATTTACCGTCTAAATATGGTAATGAAGTTTCATATTCCGAAAGCCAAGACTTGTTCAAAATCAAATCAACCAAAACCCCAAAATCCATATTTATCTTGAAATCCCCCGTAGAGACATCCGACCCATTGTTAGAGCATGTTACCAGAGCATTACAAAAAGACTCTCGGTGACAAAGTGAAGAACAGAAACCTGCCCACCTTTGCAAAGTGAGCCCAGAGAGACGCTGTCAGCCCCTCACCAGTAATTACTACATTTCTGAAGACATTTTTATCCTTTGCTCTCTTCATGTCAACCCAGAAACAACCTGTTTTAGTTAACTCTCAAGAGAAGCTCTACAGGGAGTAGGTCAGGTGGCAGGAAATGGAAAACGATCAGGCTGTCAGAGTGGATTACACTGACAAAGCACATGCTTTTACTGGAAAACTGGATGTTGTTCTTCGTAACAGTCAAACACTCCTTCATGAATACTGATACGCAAGAGGTGAACCAAGCTTAATTATTTGAAAGCATGTAAATGAATCAGGGAGGTAAATG